GCGGCATTGCCGACATTGCCACTGGATGCTGCACTGTTGCTCGATAAACGCTCACTGGCGCCGCTATCCTCACAGTCCTTGCGCAGCAGCTTTGAGCCTTCCTTTACGGCCCAGGCCACGGCCTGCATGTGGGCCACCAAAGCATCAAAGAGTATGAGTTCCGAGAGGCGTGGTATGCCTAGAGAAAAGAGACGGAGATTATTAATATTAATAAAAGAAGAAACAAAATGTATGTCATGTACATGATTTTTGTTTTGTTTTTTTTTTGTTTGCCAGAAATTGCATTTCCCACTCACCTTTATTGCTCATCTGCTGATTGAAAGCCTCTACACCGAGTATGGTCTGCTTTAAATTGTATCGTATATCGGCGGTGGTGTCACCCACTTGGGTAAACAACGACTCCGCATATTGGGTGTACATGCCCTGCTTGATTAGACTGCTGACAATCAAATAATGTGATTTGCTCAGCGGCATACGTGTGCTCCACACCAGCGAATGCAAATTCGGTGCACGCTCAATGCGCAGCGCTTCCACGTGAGAGGTGGACGGAGGCAGACCCAGCAACAGTTTCCAGGTGTTGGTGAAACAATATTGCATGGCGCACAGACTGTGCATGCTGCTGCTGTCGTTGCTATCCTTTTTGGCAAACGAGGACATGTCTGCAATGTTCAGTATGTCCACAAGGGCATCCACCAGCAGCGGATACTTGAGTTTGTCCGGTGTGCAGAGTATGAAATTCCAGGCAAGGCCATCCAATTTGAATTCGCTCACCCAATAGGCCTTTTCGGGTTCCTTGAGCACGAGACTGTAAAATGTGGGACGGATATCTGCAAAAAGACAATCCAAAAGATATACTAGAAAGCTCTGAGTCTGGGATAACTAGACTTACTCGATCCATATTCCCCTGCAGACTTGCGAAACTTTTCTTCAATATCCTGACGGCAATAGGAATTCAGTTTGGCACGATTGTTGATCAAATCGGAAACCTTTTGGGTCTCGGGCATGCTGCTCACACTGAACAATATCCAGCGCACTTGATCCAACAGCTCGGGCGGTGCCTGATACAAATGCTTCATCAGATACTCCAGGAAGACGAGCAAACGTGACAGCAACATCATTTGACTGTTGCGCACAATGCGCTCGGCACTGATGCCACGACAAACCTCGGCACAACGTATCACCCCACCAGCTGTGAGCAGCAGGATGGATTTCTTTTGCATGAGATTCAGCGAGTGGAACAGAAAGAGCAGCAGCTGGGCATGCTCAATGTTGATGTCCTCGTAGTCCGAGTCAGCGGCAGAGGTGGATGAGCAAACACCCTCAACCAGCGTGTTGATTAGGCGATGCCACACCGACAAACAGGCTGCCTCCTTCTCCTGTATGGGCTTCAGCAGTAAGATCTGCACGAGCACCGACAATGTGCTGGGATAGACCTGCAGTGGCCAAGTGTTCGTATCCGTGGACCATGGTGAGATGGCCAAATGTTGCAACAGATTCGATTGGAGCTGCTCGGACAGCAGTCCCGTGGAGATCAGATTGTGTATGTAACGGCCAGCGGCGCCCGAGAAGCGTATCATCGATGCCTGCCACTTGGCCGAGCAGCCGGACGCTCCAGCTCCACCTGCAACCACAGCCACTGCTGTGCTTGGTGGCGACTGCTGTTCGCTGTCATTGCGCATCACATCGCGATCAAAGTCCTTGATTATGTTGGCCATCAGCAGCATTTGCTGATCGCTGACACCCGCTTTGACATAGCGCTGCATGTAGGCATGACGATTGGCCAGAAATTGATCGAGGAAGCAAAAGATATCCGCAGAGAGCTCTAGATATTCGTGTGGCTCATCAAGTTTGGGCACCAAGGCGCTCTTCTGCTCACCACTGCGCTCCTGCGACGAGGTGTTTGCATTGTCATCGTGCGTTTCGGGCGAGAGAGTTTCCTTGAACCAATGCCCCAGATAACTTTCGCTGTCATCTTCCTCGGAGTTGTCCGAATAGGACATGGACTCATTTAGGCAGGTCGTTGAGTCCGAGTAGCTAATGGGATCACATTCGGTGCGGTCTTTGGTCGAGGCACGCTTCAGTGTGCATGCCTTGCGGTAGGCCACGGTGGCCAGGAACGTGAACAACTGATGCAGCGTGGCCGTATTTAGAACACGCACAATCCGCTCCAGTGATGTGTAGTTTTGCAGGATATCAAATTGCGCTGGCTCCGGCAGCGTTTCGGGATCGGTTAGGCTGCTCTGTCCGCAGGCAGATTCAATCTTTAGATCCTCAATCAATTCGGACAGCAACTTAATGCTGTGATTGGCAATGGCGGCATTCAGTTCCCCAAAGCCCTGTTGCACTTTGAATAGATTCACTCTGGCTATTGGGGTGCTGGGCGCTGTTGCAGTCTCCGTTTTGGCTGCCACTTTTGTGGCTGCTGCTGCTGCCGCCGCTGCTTTAGCTGCCGTCTCTGCCGAGGCACTGCCACTGGCACCCATTGCTCCCTGGATGCCGCTGATGAGCAGCCAGCTGCCATAGCACAAGTGATTCTGATAGATGTACATTCGGGCTGAAGATTTGAACATCTCGCCAATGCACGAATAGATTTCCAAGGCTTTGTTTACAATGCCGCTGGCCTGCTCCTCAAATTCATCGTGATCCTTGCTGGTCTGCACACTGGACAAGCCGCCACCGCTGCCCTGACTGGTCGATGCAGCAGCCGTCTGCTGCTGTTGTTGCTGCTTCTGTGAGCTGCTGGCCTGTCCCATGCTCAGCACACTGGTGGCTATCGATGTGAGCACCGCATTGTACAACGCTGAGATGCCGCACATTGATAGCTTCTCGATGCGGCTTGGTGTCAGTGGCTGCATGACAATCAAGGCATACGCCTGGCCCACAATCGACAGGTCTGTGAGCATGTGATTCATCGATGACTTCACTGTGGTGGCCTCTGCCTGCGTGAGTGGCAGATAGAGCGGTTTCCCTGCATTTATAGTCTCCATGTACTTCATGCGATAGCGACTGAGTATGGGCAGACCCACGCAGATATCCAGCAGTGTATCGACGCCATTTGCCTCCTGGAATACCTCCACATTGGCTGCCAAAAGTTGCTCCTACCAACAGGAATACAATTGAATAGGAAATTCATTTGGGGAAATCAATATCTTACAGTGCAATCGGTGATCTCCTCGCTGAGGGGCACCCAGGTCATCTTTCCCGGCTCTAGTGGTGCCAAAAGCTGCTGAAGGATCACCGATGAGAGGTCCGAGCGCGATCGCTTAATCTCCAATTTGGGCGAATCTTTATCGTTGCTTCCGCCAGCAGCAGCACCTCCTGTGGTGCTGCCTCCAATTGACATAATACTCTTATTGGATGATTCCGGATGCTTGGAGCTCTTCACCACACCGGCCACGGCACTGTAATCGAATTGTGAAACAGCCGTGGAGGCATTCTCCCTGCCCTCGCAGAGCATTTTGAGGGCGGCCAATAGCCATTTCGATTCATAGACCGTCACTTTGGGCAGGCGGAAGAGTATGAAGCGTATGAGCACAGCCGTCGCATCGTGCAACTGGCAAATTTGTGTCTGGCAAACTAAAAGAAAAATACACAAATTATTGAGATATATTTACAATGTTTATAAAGTAAGCTGAAGACAAATTGATACCCCTTAAAAGCAGAATGAGGGAGACAAAGGGATGGACGGGCGCCAACACTTATATACCGCATTCTTCAAACGGTAAAAGCACAGAATACACATAAGTGCTGGCATGTGTGTGTGCACGTATCCATGTTCGTGTGTGTGTGAGGCACCCATCAAAGAATTGCATTTCATTGCGAAAATAAAAGTATTCCATTTTGTTTTGTTTTGTTTTTTTTTGTTTGGTGAAAAATCATTAGGAATGTCGGGGGCGGCGGGTTGACTGGGTAAGGTAAGAAACTTACTTGATTTGATTTGCATAAGCTTGTCCGCCGCCAGTGCCGCAAAGGCCGTGTAAAATTGCACGAAGCTACTTTCATCGTCGAAGAACTCATGTTCGCTGCATAAAAAGACACGCAAGAGAGTATTGAAAACTGTTTAAATTGTTACAAATTTAACGGCGGCGGCCATATTTAATTTTGCAAGTCACTTTTTTCGCACTTGCAGCAGTCTCATTTTCTTTGCTGCGCCATTCAGGCAGCACGAAAAAAGTTCTTTTTGGGCTCTGGTCTGTCGAGTACTCACCATCTGGTTATTGCTTTTAGCAGATTAACCACTTCGTTTTTGTTCAGAGCACCCGTGCGGCTTAAAAGCAGAGCTTTTAATACGGAATTCCAATCCGTTCCACCGCTGTGGGACGACATTTTTCGTTTCGTATTAATAAAATTATATGCGAAAACTCTAGGCCGACTTGTATAGCTTAGCGATGTGAATTGTGGTGTTATCAAACTATCGATTTACAGAGTTGGCTGACAAAATATGCGTGGGTGATATTCTTTTTGAGTGGAGAGAACAGAGAAATTTTTGTTTCGAATATTGCTACTCGTCAGAATGCGAATCAATTTGACACCATCTACCTATTGTTTCACGTCGTTTGATAATGTCAGTATTGAAATACATTATAAATTATATCGGTACTTTTGGGTGATACAGACAGTGTGGCCAATCTAGCTATTTACCCCTTAAAACTAGCGTTTTTCAATTCCATATGCGGAATAAAGGAATTTGCGAGATTCTGCTGTATTGTGAAGCTAGCGTTAATGAAAAACATAGCGATTTGCAAGCACATGCCAAGACAGATAAACATACATAAGTCTTCGTAATCTACTTTTGCAAAAACTAACAAAATACCGTTTCAATAGTCTAGCTTTTTTCAAAGACTAGTTTAGCCTTTTTATGACCGAAGAGTTGGCAACACTGGATAAAGAATCCCCTATATTTCCAAAAAAATATATTGCCAATTCACAATAGACAAAATAACAATTCACAATGGGATTTTGTTTATTCATTCATTCAATCATTCATTCATTCAATTCCTAATTTTCGTGCCTGCGGGAGGCAAAATCCGCGACGCTCTTCGATTTGTTTAAATATAATCTGTGTGTTTCGTGCATACTTGTGTTGACAACAAAAAGGCCAACACGGATCGGGCCGCCACGAAAAATGAAGGCAATTGCTTGTTAAACTAAAGCGGAGTTTTGAGAAAATTCACGAATAGCGCTCGGTTGGTGTTCGCGGATGGTAGAAAGTATCAAATGCAGAAAAAGCTGAAAAGAGGCGAATTAAAGGAAAACATATAATCGAGCGGAAACAGTTGTGGCCCGGTGGAGGTGGCAAAGACGAACATGCGACAAGACAACAGTTCTACGTGGGCCGTGCAGCAAAACTATAACTTTTAATAGTTTCCCGGATCGACAAACAACATCCGCAGCCGCATCGTCAAGATTTAACTTAATTGAATTAACCCGGAAAATGCAATCAAGCGAAAGGGAAAGAGAAAGCAACATAAATCTGTTGGATTGTAGGGTATGCGATAGCCCAAAGATGTCATGGAAATGAGCGATTTCTGCTGATAGGCCCCTCGTTTTGCCTGTCTAGTGAAAAGTGTGCGCAGGAAAATTGCTGACAACTCACAAAAACAAAAAAAAAAGTAGTGAGGGGAACGAACGTGCGAAGCGGAGGCGTTCGTTTCGGGAAAATTCAATACAAAAACGCGGAAAGGAAAGCAAAAGAAAAACAAAAACTGCAAAAATACAAAAGAAAAGTAGTGACACACAGAGAGCGAGCGAGATCGAGAGAGGAGAGAGGCAAAGCAAAGAAATATCTGTCGAGTCGAAAGAAAGCAAAGACAGCTGTGCTCCGTCCGTGTACCTGTAAACAGTCCATGTGTGTGCGTGCGTGTTCGTGAGAGCAGAGCAGCAGAAGATCAAAGTGAAATTGAGAGAAACAACAGAGGAATCAACGCAGCAAAGCCAAAACAATAGAGGGGCTGCAGCCTCTCTCTGTGTCCCATCTCTGTCCCTTCTTCGACGACCTCCTGCAGAAGGCACTACTGACTTCCTCTCTTTCCTTCCTTCGAGGATCCTCCTCTGCCTGCCGAAACCGCTATAGTGTTAGAGTGTGGACTCTTTTCTTCCTTCAGGGATAACCTGCCGACAGCATTATAATGCGTACAACAGCATCACTTCAAGCAAAAACGACTACTTCCAGAGGCCGGCTTTTAAGCAACAAATATAAAAACCAACACTAGTCAGCATAAAACCAAACACCAAACAACTCGACCACAAAAAAGAGAAAAAAACATATCCGTCAAAAAAATACAAACAAATAAAAAACAACAACTAAATTCTAAGTAAAATAGAAAGAGATCCAACTACATTTTAAGTAAAATCAATTAAAATATGGATTGGATAATCAGCGATGAGATGGGCCTGACGGTCGGCCATGTGGTGGGCTGGGCCGCAGCCTCAGCGATGGTCATTGGCGGCGTTATACCGTATGTGCCGCAGTACATCGAGATCAAGAAGACACAGGATGCGGAGGGCTTCTCATTGTACGTCTGCCTGGCCCTGCTGATAGCCAATTCCCTGAGAATATTATTTTGGTGAGTGTAAAATCAAATGAGATACAGTTTCCCTTGGTGTATTTCCCCTTGGTATCCTCTGAGGATATCTGCACCTACTTTTGTGTGCTTCTTCACAGCTTTTCCTCCAGTACAACTAAAATCTCATACGAGGCTGCCTGTATGACTAATCTCCCACTCATATCTGTGGCGTCTTATCTCGTGCGGGGGCAATACAAAACGCTTCGCTTATCGTCTGGAATGCTCTCATGGTGTTGGTTCCATAACTGACATTTTATAACCAGACTAGAGCTCCTCGCAGAGCCCTACTATATCTGGCTGTGTCATGATTTCTGGTCGATTTCATGAACCCATAGAGTAGAGACCCAAGGCTTTCGGACTACCACCATTTATCTTTATTGAGTCTGCGATATGGTACGACATTCGACTGCTTTATAATACTCCATCTCTCCCCGCATAATACCAAATCGATTAGGTATAATTGTGCTTAGTTTTATTACAATTCCACTTGCCCATTTGACAGCTAGCTCATGATGATTGGTTGGGTAAAATGATTTCAAATGGTGTGTTGGGAAAAGCTATTGATTTGTGGCTGTAGCTATAACGCCACAATATCTTTATAACCAAATCGAATGGCATAGGGTGGGGTGATTTAAATGATTTGCCAATAGAATTTCAAAATGCTAGAGAATAAGTGGTAATAGAATGTCAAAATAATTCAGAAGTAATCTACAATTATTTTACATTTTCTGACCGGCTTTAGCTGCACCCCCACATCTCTGAGCACAGAAAATGCTTAAAATCTTCAATAAAAAAACACTAAACGGAAATAACCCAACAAATACTTGCCGAAATGTTCTCTAAAAGTTGATTCATCGCTTGGATACGCACAAAAGCAAGAAATAAATAAATCAAAATTAATAGCACAAATTGTTAATTCAATTTGAATAAGTGTGCAAAATTCCAAATGTCGCAATGCCACAAAAGATGCCCCAATGGAAGCCAGTTAAAACTGCTTTTTGGGTAAAAGAATAATAATTAAATACCTTAAATTGTTGATTGAATATACTCGCATACTTTTTAAAGACTTTTCATTATGCAAATGTTGTTAAATTGCTTGGTGCCTGCACTCGATTTCACGTTTTTCTAAGGCTATCAGGTGCGTGCCTTCGACTGTGTCCCAGGGTCAACCACTTTTGCTTAGCTGATGTGTGATTTGTGTTGCTTTTGCTATGGCTGCTTCTGTTTCTACCTTCCCCTTTGGGGAGGTAAAACCGCATCAATTATGAGTCGTAGTTGTCTAAGGCCTGCCTCTGGCCACTTCCTCACGTCACTCACGGCACAACAATCTATAAATTATTGAAAAGAAAAGTAAAAAATGTATTGTACAAGCAACTGGTGTCTCCTTCGTCGTAGACTGCCGTAGACTGTGCCTCTTGTGGCAATCAATAAATTAATTATTTAGCTAGAAAACTGTTGCCCCCGGCAAGTACTTCAAATGGATCAGCTGTTCGACATTCTGCAACGCACCCAATGCCACCAAAGGCAAAGCAAACAATGTGTGTTGTACTCACGTTTGTTGTATACATATTTGTACCCTGTAATATATGAGAGTGTTGCATGTATAGGGAGCAGATTGCTGAGTTTCTGACTATGTAATGTCCATCTATCCATGGCCATGTTGAGACAATGTTGTGTCATCCTTATTTATAAATATGTAATAAACATTTGGTGTATTTTTATATGTGCTAACTGTCTACCTATCTACCAAAAAGCATCCAGATCGGATAAGTATTACAGCCAGATTATGAATAAATATATTGAAATCCATATTGGATTGGATTGTCTATTAATATACCTAAATTCTTACTGAAAATTACCAGAATATGAAAAAGACAGCACTCAGTTAAATAGCTTAATAAATTATGAGTACAGGGTATCACCGACTCCATATAAAGCCCACAGTTACAGCGTTTTAATCGTTTTATATATAGAGTGAGATGTTTCTATGGGGAATACTATATATGTATATAATATATACATTTATGTAGGATACGTTGACGGGAGGGTGGTGTTTTTTTTGTCACGCGATTGCATTAGCCGCGCCGAACAACATGAATTTCTCAGGCTTTCCGTGATGGGAGTAGGGGCGTTTCGATGGATATCTTGGGGGCCAATTCAAGTAACTTTTTAAAGCAACCTTCCATTCAAGAATAATTGTGTAGAAGACTAGATACTCGTACTACGACTCGCATGAGTATTTGGGGGGAAGCACTTCCACAATTAAGCATTTCCTTCATTTGTTCCTATTGTTTACTTGCTGACACGAAATAATTATCATTATTTTTTCCACCCACACGGACAGACAAATAGATTATGCACCGAGCTGCTAAAAATTTAACTGCCAGTTTAATGAAAATACAAACAAAAACACGAAGCAATTTAACTATTTTCAGCTAGAACAAATTGCTTGAATGACTCGAATAGCAATTGCAATTAATTATCAAATGTGTAAAAAATATGTATAAATTATAAATACGAGGTTATTACTGGGGCGGGAGAAGTGGGGGAATGCCAACCCAAACAACAGATACATTTACAGGCACAAGATACAGATAGGAACAATGTGATTCTCAGACAAACGTAAGAGCCATGACACATCCCAAAGTTTCTCATTTTTTTTCTGCCTTTTGTTTGGTTTTTTTTTTTTTTTTTTGCATATGACATATAACATTAACATCGAACATTGCTGTGGTTCCATATGGTTTATCCATCAATAATTCGGTGGAATCTAGAATTTCAACGGTTGGGATAGATGAGCTCATTGCCTGAAGACTTATAAACACTTATTTATCATTTCGAGTGCTGGAATACTCATTGTGAGGGAATATATGGAAATATTTATTCGTTGAACAGCGAATTCCTGCATACCCTTCAGATAAGATTCGTAGAACGGAAGAGTTAGCCTCAATTGAATGTCTCAAGTGCTAAATGAAGATGGCTCTGCTCTTAACTTTGATTGGTTTATTCACAAAAAAACTAAAGTGTCTTATCAACTAGTGTTGGGAAGTGCATCAGCTGTAATTTTTACTATTTCGAACTATTGGCATATTTATTTTTCCCATTTTAATGGAAAAACAATTTATATTGCATAAAATCTTTGAATCTTTCAACTTCTACAACTTTCAGTGTTAAACATTACCGGAAACAGTGTTTCTTTTAGGACTCTAAATTACTTTTGAAGCATTTGAAGCATGAATTGACTTTCTTTATACTTTATAACCGCAATTTTCACATCGACAGAGTTAATCATAAAACTACGCAAAAAGAAGGCGTTTTCTCTGGTTTCTTGTCACACCAGAACATATGCTGACCCATTCATATTGTTTATGTACCCGTATATACTATATTGTCTAAATAAATATTTGCCCACATTCAACACCAGCGGAATCAGTTTTCCAAAAAGGTTCCCAAAAAACGCATGACTCAATCAGCGTTGGATCAGGCTGGTGCGGTCCGGTCCGGTCAGTGGGGCGTGACAGAAACAATACAAAAAACAGAATTATAATTTGCACGTACGAATATGGACTATGTGCATATAGTAGATATAGATATTCATATCTGTTTGGAGTGCCAGTCATTTCTATATTTGCTACTTTTCATTCCAACATTTGCTCAAATATTTACACAACTTGTCAGCGGTGCAAGGGGGAGAGAGACAGAGTCACCCACTGCCACTTCGCACTTAACAAATTATCCACAAAAATTAAAGCACTCACCCGTTGACTGCCATTAAAATTTGTACGAGTGCTCGTTAAGTTACAAAACTGTGTGCCAAGCATATTAAATATTTTCTTATTTTGCCAACATTTTAATTTACAACTTCATTTTCGCTTTTGCTTGTTTATTTTATTTTCCTACGAAAAAGTGTAAAAAGTGAAGGGTTAAGAGAACTTTGGGTTAAGGCGTTGCGGCGGTTCATTGAACCCAATGTTTTCAGGCCCACAAAAAGTTGATGCAATCATTCAGTAGGAAGCAACGTAATAGCCCAGCAGCAGCCGGGGCTTCCCTAATGGGATTCTTGAGTCTTTGAGCTTGTGGGAAAAACCCTGTTGTTTTCACAAGTTATAATTAGCAAAGTTTTGTTTTATTTATGACATTAGAGTGCATCTGTGGGTTGCTTAAATATTCAGAGAGGATAAATCTGCAACATTTAAAAGGGTAGAAAGTATTTAGGCAAAATTAATAGATTATTAGAGAGGCACGGAAGGAATAATTTAGCTGTAAAAAATTACAAAACTTTACACTTCAAAAACTTATATCAAATATGAATCAATAGGAAAGGGAATTAGCATGAATTCGAGTGAATTTTAGCTCACATATGTGAATCATTCCTCTTCAGCATTCATCCTTGAAGAAAGCCGTTGACTATCGAGCAGAACTTTCACACAAAATCACTTAAAATGATTATTTTCTCACATATTGAATGTATTTTGTAATATGTATACTTACATATATTGGGATCTTTGGGCATGCCTTCAAGTTAAGCAATCAAATAATAATCTATATAAGCATTAAGGTCACATTTTTGCATCTATCTCACCTGGAAACGCAGCATTCACTGCCAAAGAGAATGCTTTAGAATTATTCCAACGCTACATTTATTTATAAGATCTGACGAATCATTAGCTCAAGTATTCCTTCCCTTATCATTACACAACGCACTTTGGCACACACTTCTCAGCACTCAAATTTCTAATCAAATCTGTGAAATATTTTCTTTTAAAGAAACATGATTGTTTTTCTGTTAATTATTTAGAAATGGATGGAGAACGAGTATTGTTGTGTATTTCCTTTAATGATAAGTCATGTATGTACCTCTCCGTATACATACACATATTGTGGTTATTGTAGGGTCTTTTGCACCGCTCGTCTCCATATCAGTGTAATGACACTTCCCCATGCAATCTAGTTGCTGATATCGCCACTTTATTCTCATTCCACTTTATGATGTTTGTGTT